CGTCCTTCAGCGCGACACCTGGGCGCTGCTGATGGACCGCCGCGCGGTCGCCTGGATCGCGCGGGAGGCGCAGGAGACGGGGAAGGCCGCCGCGCAGAGCCTCCGCCAGCTGCTGGAGATCCTGACCGGGCCGCTGATGTTTTCCAGCCGCTGGCTCAACCTCCGGGGGGTCGCGACGCCGCGGGGGCCGGACCCGGACACCCAGTCCAACCTCCACAGCCTCGAGGAGGCGAACGAGATCGCGCTCCAGCGGGTGTATGAGGGGTTTGCGCCGTTCTTCGCGGTGATCGCCGTCCCGAGCGTCTTGCAGAAACTTCAGAACCAGTACAACTCCTCGCTGCGCGCGCAGATCCGCGGATTGCCAGGGCTGCCCGCGGATCTTGTCGGGATGCCGCTTTTTAGCCAGTACGCGACCTGGAAGGAGGCGTTTGAGCATCGCAAGGCGTGGGCCAACGCCCCGCTGAGTTATTTTCTCATCCACGACGCGAGTTTTAACTACGCGCAGATCTGCGCGCTTTTTAGCCTGCTCCAGATCGTCCAGGATGAGACCCATCAACACACCGAGCGCTGTTTGGAGGCGGCGGGCCTTATTGTTTCACTGGAGTCGGCGAGTTATTTGTTGATTGACTACAAAGGCATCCGCATGGCCGCCGAGGACCACCTGCACGTCTGCCCCCTCCTCGCCATCCAGGAAACGACGGAGGACGTCCTGCTCGCCTACGAGCAAAGTTCGGCCCGAAATGCCCTCACCATGGCCTTGCATGTGTGTGGGTTTTTAACGGACTGCGCCCTGGACCCGGTGACGGCGTCGAAATTCGTGAGCACCGACGCCTTGAAATTTCACCACAGCTTTCAGGTGCCCGGTACGGAGGCGAAGCCGCGCGTGCCCGATTTGGCAGAGACACCGAAGGACGGCGTGGGCAAGGATACAACCGAAACAAACGACGCGAACAGCAGCCCGCGTACCCACTCTTCGGATGGCGAAAAGAAGACGGAGTCAGCGCCCTCCACGACGGGGTCGCCCGACGGGACCCAGCCCCTACAAGAGCACGGATCCGTCCGGGATTCCCCCGTCTCGAAGGGCATGCCGCTGCTTCGGAAGTGCTTTAATGAGTCGGATTTCGAAACGGTTTTTGATCTTATATATTGGTTTACCGACGCCGCCACGGTGCACACCAACTTACCTGTCAACCCGCAGCTTCTTCCGCATAACCCCAAGCCGGAGGGCGCGAGCCCGAGTCCGTCGCCGGGGGGGAAAAAGACGGACAAAGATCTCGCCCTGCCCAACTGGATCCAAATGGAACTTTCCATTCCCTCGTTGACCAGCACCATGACCAGCTTCGCTTCGCAGCAACCAACGTCGCGAAAGAAACGTCTGCCCCATGGGCATCACAACGGGAAAATGTTAAAATCCGCCAAAAATGTTTTGACCTCGACGCGGCCTCATAACCGGGGCCGGCGTGGGTCGGGTTTGGATGGGCGCATCCTGTCCGATATCTCGTCGACCTCCTCGGGAGAGGGGGAGAAAATCGCCCCGGTGGAGCCTTTGTATATTCCCGGACGACATCAACGCTACCACGCGGTGAGTTCGCTGCTGGAGGCCATCACCAGCTATGAGGCCTGTCTTCAAATGCTGCTGAAACATAATCAATGGAAGGACCAAGAGGTACGCGAAAACAAAGATAACAATCAATCCATGGATAACTCGCGGACCCTCAAACAGACGGAATCGATCACCCCGGACGGGGATAGAACGGCGCTGAAGGATCACAGTCCAGGCAAGAAACGTCGGCAAAGGCGCCTTATGAAAAGCGATGCGCCGGCCGATTTATCCGGACTCTCGGCCTATTTATCCCCCTCGACAACCATCCTGAAGACGCCGCTGATTTTTATCATGAGTTATATACGTCTTCATGGCGCGGTATGGCTCAAGCAGCTTTTTGAGCGGCTATTTAACATCTTGCGCAAGGAAAGCGTTCTTTTGTATGTCAACACGCTCGAGTTGAGCAATGACTTTGACGTCCTCAAATCAAAGCAACTGCAGAAGACCACCGGGGAGGGGGGCTTCAACATGTCTAATGCAAACGACTCACGGCCCAGCTCCTTCGTCAACTTATCCCATCAGCTGGATACACCTCGAGCGAATGATAGCAGTTTCTCAAGCCATGAATCCTCTTCGAACGTGCGGAGCCTTTCCCTAAGCATGGCTCAAGAAGCTAACCGAAACGCCCATGTTCAATCACTGGAAGATCTAATCTGTCAAGACATCTTGTATGTGATGAACGAATTTTTTAGTGCCCTCTACGGGAGTCGCTCGACCACACGGCTACCGCGAGGGATCACCGCTCTCATAACCCAGTTTACTACTACCATGCACTTGCACCTCTTGGAATCCGTTGTGAATCCCAACGGCCAAGAAAGCGACATGGCGGGATTCACGGGCAATAGCCCCAGTGATTCCCAACAGTCAGATCTTCTCCGCGTTAGTGAGTATCTTCGATACTTAAAACTTAGTCAAGTGGCAATTCAGAAAGATATGCTACGCCACCACGAAACGCTTTCCAACAGCGCCATCAAACGTCTCCTGAGCAATATCGAACAGAATCGCCTTGCAAAGTTCATCCTGTTCGACTGCTGGATTATCTGCACGCTTAACAATGCCACTTCCTACGGCCACATCGATGATAATGCCTCCCTTCACCTGCGATGGAATATCGACGCCTTCGCGCGCTACCTAAAGATACTAGTCAATGCCCCTTTTATTAAGGATAAGGCGTCCAGCGGCTATGCCTCCGAGGCCAGTAAATACATTAATAGCTTAGCCGAGAAGGTGTCGGGGGCCTTGGATTCGACTATGGAGCTAAAAGACAAGGTAAAGGGATCCTTCAACAGATCGCGAGGGTTGAACGAGACGGGGAGAGCGTCACCTCATGATCGTCCATCTTCACACAACACCCAACGAATAAAGCGGGAAAGGCCCCCACCAGTAATGATGTCGCTGCCCTGTTATATCACCGGTGTATACGATATCGCGACGGGGAATCTTGTCCGTCTTGGTGTGAACAACCCCCCTTCCAACTCGGATGCACGACCTACCGTTCCGGATGATTGCTCGATCCCATCAATTTCCTCGTTTAGTCGAGTAAGCAAACTGAGCAGAGGCCCTACCCCTGGGCGAACTACACGCCAACCCTTTGGATTGCATACCACCCAACAGATCACCTCGATCGATAATAAGCACAGCGTGCGCGATGCCAGTTCTCCAAAGTCCCCAGTAGCGGGGTTTAATTCTTCGGAGAACTACGTGTGGCTACCCGGGGCCTCGCAGGTCTACACCGTCGTCGGGGGCTCCAACTGGGACAGCATCTCCCCCTTCATGAAAGCCCTCAATGAGGCCCTTGGGATTGTCGGGTACGATATGGAGGAAGATATTCTTCGCGAGGATAACCACTCCACGCGTGTGTCCAGTTCGAATGCGCGCGAACGGGTTGATTTGTATATGGCGATGCTCGAGATCGAAAAAGACGACTTCAACCAGCAGAGCTGCGCGATGCGGCTGCTTGACTGCTTCACGCAGCGCTCCTGTCAGGAGCTATCGGGCAACATCGTGATGACGGAGTTCGAAGTCCTGCCGTCCATCGCGGCCCGCTGCGTGGACAAGCTGACGGACTTGATCACCGGGCAGCACCCGCTCCTTCTAAACGCGTCCGCCTTGGGGGTGCTGCCG